TATTGTTAAAGCGGTACTTTATCCAAAAAGGGAAGTTCCTATTGTCTGCATCCCCCTCCACTGCCACATTCGGCACTTTTTTTGGGGGGGGAGTTGGTACCTGGTTTTGATTTTTTGGTCAGGTCGGTTTTTGGTTAGGTCGTTCTGCGGCCTGTGCCCATGGAGGTGATTGGAACACCTGAATCCAATGATTTGGAGAGGTGTGTGGGGTGTGTGTGTGTGTGTGTGTGTGTGTGTGTGTAAAGTTGCGATTTTTCAGAAGTCATCCCCAAGCCATGGAACTACCTGGAATAAAAATGTTGTACTCCTGCTGACTTCCTTGTTTGTTCTCTCTAGTCTTCCTTTTTTCATGGGATTGTTCAGCCTATATATCCCCCTTCTTTACCAAAAACACATGATAAACATGAAACTATGATAAAGTAAATATATAAACACACAAGTTATGTGGAAAAAAATAGAGTTTGGTCCCTTTGTTGGGGTTGAAAATATTTGAATAAACCCTAAGGCTAGGTTCACATCTGTGCGGGTGGTGCCTTTGCGGAGCCGCACAAAAATCCGTGCAGCAGCACCACCCGCACAGAAGAATGCGGACCTGTGGGCGGGTGCCAGTAATTCTAATGGCACGCCGACCGCACTAGAAATCTCAACTGTACTGGGAACTGAAGTTCCCGTGCGGGCTGCGTTTTCAGAAAAAGTGCCCCGGGGCACAGGAGTCCATTCAAATTAATGGGCTTTTGTGCGTGCATAAAATGCGGAACGCAAATATGTGAACCAGGGCTTATAAACAACCAAACTAAGTTCAAGTACTGTAAAACCACCAAATGCTTAGGCTGCATTCACATTGGCGTGTTCCAGGAACGTGCACAGAAACTGTGTTCCCAGGACACATGAAAATCCCATGTTACACTTGCAGTGCTATTAATGGTCAATGGCACCACAAATGTGCCCAGAAGATGCATGTTTCGTATGCGCCAAAAGGGCAACATACACACCAAAAAGCACAGTAAATATTGCACAAGTCTCAATGCTAAAAAAGGCGCAAGAGCTTCTTTGAAGCATTTGTCACATGTAGGGCAGGCCATTCAAGCGAATGGCTGCCTTATGCGTATCATGTGAAAACTAGCATTCATGTGAATTGGGTCTTAGTCTTTAGGATTCAAGCTGGCAAAAATGAACCAGACCAGCCATACCGTTACACACAGTGTCCGCTCACAAAGTGGGTGACATTATCCCAAGAAGTTCGACTGCAAGAACTGTGATTAAATCCACATTCACACTTGTACATCAAAGTCACATGACAAGTCATACCCCATGTTTTCCAGTGATAGCCATTCATATATGTGTGACTTAAAGTTGCAGTGACTTCAAGGTAGTTCATGCACAACTTTGGTCTGACTTTGATGCAAAGGGCCATAGACTTCAATCAGGGGCGGACTGACAACTCATGGGGCCCCCGGGCAATAGGGGATCATGGGGCCCCTGTGTCCTTGCTCAAACTCCAAAAAGCCTATGAAAAAGGTACCAGGGGCATCTCATGGGGCCCCCTACTGACCCCAGGCCCTCGGGCAGTGCCTGAGTTTCCAAATGGTCAGTCCGCCCCTGACTTCAATGTTAACCCTCAAAAGTTGCATGAAGGCCTACCTGAATATTTTACATGCAACAGTTTTCCGACTTTGCAGAGGGACAAGTCCCATCCAAGTCGCACCCATCCAAAGTTGCACCCCAAAGTCACACAACTTTGGAGTCGTACAAGTGTGAATAGAGCCTTAGGAAAAACTGAGGAAAGTTTGTTGGGAAAAATCCAGTGGTTGGATGACGCTGTTAGCAGATCCAGAGGTAACTGCTGACAGATTTTTTTTTTTTTTTTTTTTTTTTTAAGTCCGCAAACGTGCAACTATAACGAAAAAACCCGTAAGTGTTCACAAAAAAAGTGCAAGTGCAAAACACCACACGACTGACAGATACCTTAGTGAGAAGATATATAAAGCATTAAGGTCATAGGGATCGGTCAGCTGTGTTCCTGCCAGGGCTTTCTTTCTGCCAACGCGGCGGTACTGCGTTCCGCCACCTTTTTCTTCTTGTCCCCGCTCACCGACTGCCTCTGCAGAGCTGACAAGCTATGCAGAGCAGCGAAAGTGACAGGTGCCGGACGCGGCTTGTTTATGTCATGCTTGCGCGTGCCCGGCACCTGTCACTGCCGCTGCTCACAGCCGGTGAGCGGGGACATGCACGCTTCACCCCCCCCCCTCTACCGCCAGCGTGTAAAACATCGGGGGCGCGCGGCCACCCCCATAGGAAAGGTGTATCTTAGTACACCCGGCGGTGCGCGCTGACGTCATCACGCCCTCTGCTCGTCGATCCTACCATAGCGCGGATCGTCAGCATCAGGTAAGGAGCGGCGATACAATTTTTCTCGCTTTTCTTGCTAATGTGGGGGGGGGCAGTGTTTACTCGCTATTCTTACTAATGTGGGGGGGGGGGGCGGTGTTAATTCCATACATTTACTTTTATAGCCCCTCCCAAAATTTACTTGCATTCCTGTTCTCTAAAGGGGTGGTCCTAGGGTTTGATGGGGGCGTGGCCAGGTTTGGGTGGGGGAGTTCCACCACCTTTCCTCTGAGAAAAAAAAGCCCTGGTTCCTGCCAAAGCATAAATCAACAATCCACTTGTCAGTTGATAGTAGCTATGCTTAGTGATGGCCCACAATCTGCTCAGTGAAAGCCACCAACTCTCAGCACTTCTGCCCAACAACTCCAAGTAGCTTGGAACCAGAAGGAGCCGGAAAGCAGCCCCAGGGATTTTAATAAAACTAAATGTTACATTTATATCTAGACCGGTGATAATTAGTGAACTAGTTGATTCAACAGACAGGGAAGCCACTCCCATGGATCCACTTCTCTCTTCTTTCTGTGGTCCTAACAATGACTATTAATTGCCCTTTCTACAGGTTTTTAAGGACTGCACATTTACTTGATATTATTTTATGAGAGGTGCTTCTCATATCAGGGTATTTCTTTTTTTTTTATTTATTGCTCTTAACCTCCCTAGTGGTCTGATTATGTCAATATATTTTATCTTTAGTTCTACTTTAGGTTTTAGAGTAGGGACTTTTCTCTGGTTTTACTGCTGTTTTACTGCTCTGGAATGATTCAGACTCTCTATTTATCAGGGTACCCATTATCACCGAGACAGAACGTGATAGGGAAGTGGTTAAAGCGGGTCTAAAGGGAGGAATACTCACCTTTCCTCTAGCAGTCTCCGTCCTCCTCTTGCACTGACTTCTCCTGCGTCACAGTGTTCTGCCATATTAAATGGCTGGCATGAGATTCACATCACTCCTGCTTATACGCAGGAGCTAGTCATTCTGGTACACAGGGATCTGGTTGGCTACTGTAAGCAGAGGTCACTCCTGCATATTTGCAGCTCAGTTGACATTCTGGGGAACATTGAGAGCAGGCAGGTAGGTTTGTTTTATTGTATAAGAGGCATTGTATGTCTTTTCTGCAATAAAAAAGCCGGCCTGTTAAAAATTGCGAATTAAAAAAAATTAATAATAATATAACATATACAATTGTGACACAAGTCATATTGTGATTGAATGTTATTAAAAATGACTTTTCCGTTTCAGTCTGCAGTGCTGTAATTGTCTGTCAAATGCAATGCTATATGGCTACCTGGAGGTTTTCTGTACACAGACTGTGTACAGCATGCCCCCAGAAGTATCATTTTCTGTTTGCTTGATTGGCTCACTGATTTTCACAAAAGTCTGAATTAAGATACAAGTCAGATCTTTGGCATCTCCTGCAACAAAAATTTAATTTTTGGTGAGATACGTCCAACAGGAAATCACGTCTAAAGGGATGCAGACCCTGACACTTTCCTTATTGGAGCCCTGCAGGTGTAGGAGCTGACTGATAATTATAAGACCACTCCTATACAGATTCACTTTACACATGGGCACAGACAAACAAACAGCTATTTCTATAGAATAAAAAAAGTAGGAATCTGCAACAAATCCTTGCAATGTACATAGATCACACAGAGGGGAAACATTTTTTCTCAACAAAGGCGGAGTTACTCTATAAAGTGACTTGAATCTAAATCAATAAAAATAAACTAAACAAAATATATATACTATTCAAGTATGTATTCTTAACTTAAAAAATTCTGTCTATCGCTGTCAGCCTCCTCCAAATTCATTTTTTTCAGATGGCTTCATTCATTCTACATGGTCCCACTCAGGGGCGGACTGACCATTTGGAAACTCGGGCACTGCCCGAGAGCTCGGGGTCAGTAGGGGGCCCCATGAGATGCCCCTGGTACCTTTTTCCTAGGCTTTTTTGAGTTTGGGCAAGGACACAGGGGCCCCATGATCCCCTATTGCCCGGGGGCCCCATGAGTTGTCGGTCCACCCCTGGTCCCACTGTAAGTAAGAGTGCAGCCATCCACTCTTCCTTGCTACCAAAATGTACTAGGGACTCTGAGATTTGTATTGTATATAGAGCAGTGCATATGGACACCATTAACATGGACTGCTCATTTCAAACAAATGAAAGTCAAGGGGAAAGGAGATATTTGGGAGTTCATTAAAAATAGATTACAGATCCATAAGGCCTGGTTGACACTAGTGTGGGCCTCTCAGCCCGCGTTTGCATGGCCATGGCGGCCCATTCATTTGTATGCAGCTTTTAAGAAATGCATCCACAGGGAAACCGTATGATCTTTTTGACCATGCAGTTTCCCTGCGGTTCCTGCACCCACGATCGCGCTGTGGGCTGAAATGCGTAGGGGTTCCATTCAAAATTATTTGCAGCCCAGCTCATCTCTCATAAAAGCAGCGGGTGGTTTCGGGTGTAGGAAACTATGCGATTCCCGTAACCAGAACACACAGTGCTGGCTAGTGTGAACTTAGCCTTAATGTGTTACTAAACCCAGGACCCTGCATTCACCCTATCTGGTCTCCCACAGTACACAGAACATGGAAGTGCAATTTTAAAAAAAATATATAAAACTGCTAAATACCTTTTCTCATCAGCAGTTAGAGAAGTCTTGTGCTTTCTATCAGTGTCCAGCTGAGCACTGGTTAATCTTGTAGGAGGAGTTTTCATTTTGCTCTAGGAGGATGCAGAACCCCTGACCTCTGTCTGGACAGTGCTGATTGGCCCTTTGGTGATCATATGAACTCTCCCAAGAAAAACAAAACCCTGTAGCAATACACACCAACCTGAGCATGTGCAGAGTGACTCCACATGATGTCTTATCAGGAGATATGAGGGGGGCACTGGAAGAAGGGGAGGATCAGAGAAGTCAGTTTTTTCAGAATGCGGAGGATTAACCCCTTAGATTTTACAGTGAGTATAACAAGCATGCTTTACTGCATATACAGAAGAATTTTACTGTTGTGGGTTTAGCAACACTTTAAGTAGTGGATGTGCATGGATTATTTTTAAAAAGTAAGGATATAATTTAAAGGTTAAGTTCACATTTTCCAGAAAACAGCCTGTGCAGTCAAGGGGCCCCAGGAGATATTAAAAAAACTGCAGCTTTGTAAAAGATTGACACACACACTGAAACCACATAATATGTAGTCAGACAACACAACACTGAGGCAGCCATCCATGGCGCCTGTACTCTTCAACTGTGAGCTGAACTCCCGGTGAATATAAAAATCCATCATTTATGGTACTTAAATATTAATTAAAAATCATTAAATATAGTTTTAAATAGCACTAGTGTATGTACCTGAATATGTCCTTATATTACCTTCCCATAATCCTCTCCACAAGAAATCTCAGTCTGGAAGCCAAGCTGGCTCTGCTGTGTTTCACTTCAAATGCATTTCAAACATGTGTCTAAAGTGATATTAAAGGCTATTTAAAAAAAAAAATAACAAACATGTTATACTTACCTGCTCTGTGCAGTGGTTTTGCACAGAGCAGCCAAGATCATTCTCTTCTCAGGTCCCCTGCCAGTGCTCCTGGCCTCTACCTCCTGCCAAGTGCCTCCATAGCACACGCATTTTGCTATGGGGGCTCACAAACAGGCTTGCTCCCGAGCCACTGCTCTGTGTGTCCATTCACACACAGAGCCGTGTCTCGGCTCCTCCCCCTCTCTTTTCTCATTGGCTCACTGGCTTTGCTTGAGAGCAGCCAGTGAGAAAGGAGAGTCCCCAGAGAGCCAAGGCTTCCACACACATCACTGGATTGAGATGGGACTCAGATAATTATTGGGGGGCTATTGCACCCAGAAGATTTTTTACCTTCATGCATAGAATGTATGAAAATAAAAAATCCTTCAGCCTTTACAATCACTTTAATGTCTTGTCTGGAGTTCAGCTTTAAATGAGTTCTATGGTCACAGCATACACTATTTTATAACATCAGCCTTGTAATAACAAAACAAACAATAGTTATTTTTTGATAATCCAATATAAGCTTACCTGAAACATCTCCTTTGATGTTGTGTTTGCTGGCCATCTCTTTCCACAACTTCTAGGATTCCCTGCATGCTTTGCAGCTTTCCCTCTGCTGGTTAGTTTAAATTTCAAAAGACCACATATCCCATGATTCCTTGCTGCCTGTGCTGACTCCGCGTCCTAAAAGTCCTCCTCTCAGCACCTCTGTAGTTCAGAAGGCAGGCTCTGTGAAATGTGGGGCACAGCAGTGCCTACTCACATGACATAGTGAATACATGGAAGTAAATGTTTGGGGGTTTTCACAACGTACGTTTACAGACTTGTTCATATTCATAGGAGTAGGCTAGAAATAACTGAACAAACTAAAGTAACACTTAGTGCTAAGGGACCAACAGTCTCAAGGAACATTCTTCCATCAATTCCACAAGTAATGGATGGACCTTGTTGCCCTCCTCAGACACGGGGGGGGGGGATCCTTATATAAAGCTAAAACCAAAATAAAGAGAGGGCACACCAGCCTTGTATATTACAAAAGACACTTAAATGTAAAATGAAAAGAATTCCAATATACTCACAAAATTAAGTATAGACAAGCACATCAATAAATTCAATGTCAAATCCAATGGCGATAGTGTAGCAATGCTCGACAGCTAGGAGGCTTACATGTTTCAGGGGCAGAACCCTCTTCATCAGAGCCAATCAAAGTGTTCAAAATGCAATCAATTTATAGAACTCTCATCATTAGAGGTCTAAGCTCTGCCTAGGGGCAGGGGAGGGACCTTCGGGTTAACCCCTAAGGAGCAGCAAATGGACCCAGACAAAAGAGTGACTGTACACCCATAGGGGACACTAGTAATAAAAAGGTACAATGTTTTAGTGATTCTGTACATTTTAGTGTACCTGTTAGTACTAGTGTCCCTTATGGTTTTACAGTCGTTATTTGGTCTGTTAGGGGGGTCCATTTACTGCTCCTTAGGGAACAACCTGAAGCTCCCTTCCTCCTGTATAGGTGGTCTAGAGGCACAGCCTCTGATGAAGAGGGTTCTGCCCTTGAAACAAGTATGCCTCACTCCTAGCTATTGGGCAATGCTACACTATCGCCATTGCATTGGACATTGGATTTATTGATGTGCCTGCCTGTACTTCATTTTGTGAGTAAATTGGAATTCTTTTCATTTTACAATATATTGTCTTTTAGCAATGCACAAGACCGATGTGCCCTCTCTTTATTTCTGTTCTACTTCAATGTAGAAATGAATATAGGATTTTACATTTTGACCATAGATGCACTTTAAATGATCAGAGAGCTGGAATTTTGGCAAGCAATGTAAGATCTGTGATTGAAAGAGATATAGGGTATTCTCTTTAGCAGGATAGGGGAATGTTCACTTCATTTAATATAGCTGAAATATAGTCTTCCAGTATATCAGGAGGGCTGACCTCTATGTGAGTGAATCAAGGGGCATCCACATTTCTTTGAGATATTGTTCTAAGAAAGAAGAAAGGAAGAAGACATCCCTTTACCAGGGTTACCAGCTTCAGCACAAATGATTGCAGCTAAAAATTCCTCCACAGTTAAAGGAGATTCTGAAGAGGATCCATATATGGTTAATCAGCATGTGGCTCAGAATAATGATTGAGAAGGCTAAATGGCGAACAAGAAAATATGTTGTATTATGGTAAAAGTCATTGAAAAAAAAACACCATTCATTTTCATGCAGGTTTAAACACTTGGGGTCCTTTTCTTTTTTAAGTCCAAAACTCTGTCAAAGACTGTGGTCCTTGGGAGTAGTGTCTGCTTATTCTGTCTGTAGGTCTTTTCTGTTTCACACCAGTAAATATGATGACATCTGGATATCCCAAGAGAAGTTATAGCACATGGATAAGTAAAAATAAATAAAAATACAATTTCTGATCTTGAGCACACAGCCTACCTTAAAAAAAAAGAGGTTATACTTATCTGCTCTGTGCAACAATATTACACAGCAAGGTCCCTTACCTCCTCTTCTAGCAGTTCTCGCCAGTACTGTCGGCTCCTTACTGCTTTTGTCTCCTGTAGCAATCTGGGTTTAAAGGAGCACATTCCTGAGCTGGGCTGTCTGCATCTATAGACACACACACAGCCAGTTAACCACGCCCTGCTCCCGTCTCACAGGAGTTTGTCTGGCGGCAGCAGGAGCCTTCGGCTCTACTGCCTTGTTATCTCCTGTAAAAGCAGTAAGTGAGGGGAATGGTTCTGGAGCCAGAGACAGAGCAGGAGAGGTGACAGGAACCGAGTTAGTGTTTAGGGATGGGGGGGGGGGGGTTAAGTAGGACAGACATTGGGGCTTTTATTATATAAACCCTACAGTGAACTTCATCTTCTTCACTAGCTTTTGGTCTGTTACCTAAACTGTTGAATGCATTTTTATGTTATATCTATTTGAGAAGTGAAAAAAATACTTGTTAGTCCTACCAGAAACCTTCTGATCTGAAAACTTCCTGTCCTCTTTGCTGATTGTTATCTACAGATATCTCTATAAACCTTAAATAATCTGCTTTCTGTGTTATGGAGAGGAGGCGCTGGGAATGGGGGGTTGTAGTCTGGCTCTTGTGTGTTGTTCCTCTATAATTTAGTAAGATGAGTGACAGTTGTGACCCTAGGATAGGTTATGTGTTACTAGCAGGATCACCAGGTAAAAATAGAAAAAAAAGAAAAACAAATGTAGCCACATCTAAGGACTGGTAAGGTGCAATGTATTACATTTTTGTTCTTGGGTTTTGCTGCAGTTTAAAGTGACCCTGCTGCTATTTTAAAGTGTATCAGGGCAACAAAAAATGCACATAATGTAAAAGTCTGGTATATTTCCCTGCTGAAGAGCCACAGATACTGAGCATAGCCACGCATAGTAAATCAATGGCTGTAGAGATGGGGGTATACATCAGCACTCACATAAACACATGCATGCATACTATCTGCTTCCAGGGGCATAGAAACACATGCAGACATTAGTAATGACATTGTACAGACATTACAGACAGAGTACAGACATTAGCACTGTACTCTTGTACAGCTGAGTATAGCCATTGATTACTATAGGCAGCTAATTATAAAATGAAAGGAAACCTGCACTCGGGACAAAACCTTAAGGAGTAAGGGGACTGGCATGTGACAATGTAATCTATGATAAAACCGCATAGAGTGGGGCCACAATGTGACGTCATCATGCAAAGTTAATAAAGCAGTTTGGCTTAAACATACTAAACTATAGCATGTGCTCTTTGTGTCTTATTCTGGCTTGATGGCGAATTGGATTGGAATACATCTCTGATTGGAGGCATTACCCATATAACGTGTTTTTGACCATTATCTGTTTAATGGTCATTAAGATCCAGACTTGATTGGTTGTGCTCAAGATTGAAGGTGTTGGAAATTCATGAGTTGGCACATTGAAAAGTGGCTGAAGCTTACTTTGAAGTGTGGAGTTATTTGAAGCTCACTCTGGATTGTGATCACAAGAGATACTTATCTTTGGACACTTGCTCATAGATCAGCCAGTGAATGGGTGTTACAATTTAACTGTTCACAGGTTGGCTGGTGTATGGGTGATGTGCACTTTATATAGTGTGTTCTTCTAAGGCAAAATTTCTTTCTTCATTAGTACTATTGCTTTTGAATAAAATTTTTTCACGATTACTAATTGTGTGTCATTTTGTATTCACATATACAGTTGCAAGAAAAAAGTATGTGAACCCCTTGGGATTACGTGGAGTTTTGCATGAATTGGGCATAAAATGTGCTCTGAACGTCATCTAAGTCACAACAATAGAAGAACACAGTCTGCTGAACATAATACTACACAAACATTAGATGTTGCCATGGTTTAATTGCACATAACATGTAAACATTCACAGTG